TCCCCCCCCCCCCCACCCCACCCCAAAAAAAAATTGCAACAAGAAGCAATAATTGCACATATGAAAGTGAGATGAACTTTAATGCCTTATAGCTAAAACGAAATTGGTACAAGCATAAGTTCTTGTGCTTGGTACATTCACATCCACTCATTTAAATAGGGGACCACATTCACGTTGGTTGAAGAGTGAAAGAGAATGAGACACCTCACTACAAATTCATGCTTGGTATTAAGTTCCTGCATCCCAAAAAAACTCTAGCAACAAGAAGCAAACCAAGTAGATTTTAGTAGCGCGTGAAAAAAAATTGCACCAAACCAAGTAGTTTTTAGTAACGTGTGAAAAAAATTTGCACCACAACACAAACAACAGTATCAGACGTTGATACCTGGTAAACCCAAACCAAGTCCACACAAGAAAAATTGCACCAAAACATAAAAGCTAATGGTTGAGGGATCCAAATTGTAAATTCCTCAACAGAGCAGGAAAAAATCCACAACGGTGGGGTATATTTCCCACCGTGAAAAAAAACCCACAAGGACTACCTTTTATCAGGTGCTATCAGGATACAAGTATATTTAAAGATTTAAAAATTAAAAGGATAATTCGTCAAAATTCTCAAAGATTCATAGCAAACTGATGCATCAAAGAGCAGTTTTCCGTAATTATATCAAAAACTAAGTGCTGAATTGATAAAAACCTATTCTTTTTCGAGAAATGGAACCAATTATAGCATGAATAACACATGCTAACCCAGAAAAAAAAAATAAAAAATAAAAAAATACTATTTTTTAATCCTAATTCAACAAGTTCAATAAAAGATCGAATCCCTATACCTTATGATCAGACGAAAGCGGAACAGCGACCCCACCTCTCGACAAACCCCCTCGAATCTCCGCAGTTGCCACCACAATCTGAGTGGATCCCACCACCGCACGACCGCGGTGGACCCCACTGTCCTCTCCGTCGCCTCCGCCCTCGATCCGCCCGCCGCCGTCGCCACTCCTCGTCAACCCTGGCGAAGCACTCGACCATGACCTCCCTCCACCTCCTCACCGGCCCATCCCCTCCGGCCAGTTCTCCGCTCGCCACGTCAGCAAGAACAGCGTGCAGCTCTCCCTACCACGCCGCCGCCACCTGAGGACCGCGTGGCCGTCGTAGACACCGAAGAAGTCGTACTTCGACGTCTCCGGCCGCTCTCCGATCGCCGGAAGCACCGTCAACGCGTCTCCATCTCCGCCGCCTTCCAAGAATCGACACCGACCCGTGCGATAAGCACGGGAGCTTAGTTGCGGGCGGCGTCACCTCATCTCCGATCTCGCCGTCGAGTCAAAACCGTAACTTCCCCAGCGCCTAATTCCATCACGTCGGAGTCCGAAGGCGTTGACTCGACGTCGTAGAAGACTGAGGAGAGGAGGAAGACGAAGAAGAGACGAAGACGCCGTCGATGACGTGTCCGATTTATTGCGGACTCGCTTAACTGAACCGTTTGTGTCGGCTGCGTCGATCTCAGACGGCGGATCTCCTGCCGCCGCCGGCGGAGAGGTATGGTACTTCTTGCAAAAATCACCCTCGTCTTTTTTCATAATTATTTCCGTTTCTTGTTCCTTAATTTTTTGTCCTCCCGGCACGGTTAAAAGAGAAGAGAAAATGGAAAAGTGTGTTGGGGTGGAGTGAATATCCTATTGTTAAATAAGGTGCTGGGTAAGTATCAACCGTTGGGTCTAAAAATTCCACTAGATGATAGACACGCGTCTAATAATAGGAGATCTCCGTACGGTAGGCGAATCAGGACGTGGATATTTTTGCGAGAGACGTGGACGGTCCAGATTGGGTCTCTCTCACACGTGGCCGACCTGACGGTGTCGTTTGGGATCCTCGCTTCGAAGCTGAGAATCGCACTTTTTTCGTGGCCCTAATGTGCCCTCACAAAGCGTTTCTATGCGGGTACGATCGCCTGTGCTCCAACAGCGAAGATCTATGATGTTGAGGCCGATCGTACAGAGATCTGCACGTGAAGAGATTGTATGCGTGGAGTTTAACGAGGTTCGGGGGTGAGGGGGACGCGTGTCTGCCTGGTCGGGCAGCGGCGAGTGCGGAACGGGCAGTGCGGGCAGAAGAACGGGCAGCTAAACGGCGTCTCGCGAATCCGGAACCGGATGGCGGGGGGGGGAGAAGACACGTGGCAGTTTAGGCAGGTTGATCTTTGTTTTTTCCAGATTTGTTTAATGAAGTGCGGGGAGTGACTCTGGTCAACAGAACCTAGTTAAGATTCAACAAGTGCGTGCTAGTTTGATCAGGAGATATTTTAACTTGGTTAAAGCATTAAAAGATTAGACGCGTGTGTCTGAGAGCATGTGGGATTGGAGTTCCCTGTACACCGAAATCATGGGGTTATATCTCCTTCTCACTCAGAAGTAGGGGTGTACATCCGGCCCGGTCCTACCCGGGAAACTAGGCTCCACGTGCCGGGTAAATCGAAGCCCGAGCCGGGCCCAGCCCGCTCGGGAAACCGGGCTCGGGCTGGGCAAACGAAGCTCGGGCCCGGGCCTAAACGGGCCGGGCTCCGGGCCGGCCCGGTTTTTTTTATTTTTAAAATTTTAAAAAAATAATAAATCATAAAATATACCTAAAAATTACAGAAAATAACATAAATTTTTTTAATAGCTTAAAATGACATAAATTATAAGTATAAAAAATTATAAAAATAAAAGATGATAAAAATAATTTTTTTATTGATAATTAGTAAATCCTTTGCAATTATAAATTTATTTTAAAATTCGTCGCATCACAATAGATGAGTAAATCCCAACTAGGTTGGCACCTACTCACCCATCACTATCATTTGTAACTTTTTCCGAAATAATTCGTTACAAATTTAAAACTAAGAAATAAAAATTACAATTTGATGAATATCATCTAATATTTATATCGATCTGCTAGTCCCAACTCTTTAAATTTATCTTCAATTATAGCAATCTGATCGATGTCTTGTGTTCGCTTCTCGTACTTCCACCAATCTTGTAAGCACATCACCGCTTGTGCAGTATACGAATCTAAGCATGTCCTGTGGTCGTCGATCAAACGTCCTGCTGTGCTGAAGGCAGATTCTGAAGCTACCGTCAAAACCTGCATTGATAGTAAGTCACGAACCATGATGGAAAGTATAGGGTATGAAACTGATCCATATACTCTCTACCATTGCAAAATATCTAAAGTATTTCCTTAACTTTTAACTAAGAAAGCAGAAAAATATTCATCTAATTCAGAAACCTCTAATCCTGAACCAATTCCAGATTCACCAGTTAGTTCAGCTACCATTGCATACCTATCAAAATTTACACTTTTACCTCGACTTGTGCTCGAAGCCGAAGGCGCTGAAGCTGTAGACTGTTATGCAACTACACCATGTCTAGCTGCATACTCATCATATAATGTTTAAAAATAATTTATGTTGGCCTTCTTGTTTTGATGATGTTTAACAAACAATTTACTCCTAATGTTATTTGTCTAGTGTTTGTGTTTTCGTATTTATTCTAGGCAAACAACGAGTTGGATGATGAATGGAATTGCGCATTCACGATCATATCCAATGGATGTTGGCAGAATTGTGGAATGAAGCCTACGAATTCAAAGTTAAAGATTCAAGTTCAAGCTTCATCCGCAAGTGTACCAAGATAGAGCTTCGTTGAAGATCACAAGCTTAGGTATATTTAGTTTAGGTTTATATTATGTGTGTTAGTACTTTAAGCTCAATCATATACACACATACACGTTTTGGTTTTGTATATATATAGTTATATATATACATATATGTTTTGGTTTGATAGTTTTCAAGTTTTACTATGAAACAATTGAATATAATTAGAAAACATATTTTTGTTTCATACTCATATGCATATATATGATTTCATCAATATCAATTTTATTTAGTTCAATGAAATCATGTTTTAGTGCATTATATGTGTATTTTGATAAAATACTATATTCATTGTTTATAGACTTTATAACAATAGTTTACATCTTTCTTCAAGTCTATAAAATCATTTTGTATTGTTTCAAAACATGGTTAAGCTAAAATGTCAAAACTCATATGTTCACATTTTCATGTTTTGGACTATTTTGCAAGATAATGATATTTTTTATTTGGGAGGTCCTTTCTGAAAACCAGTTTTTGTAACATGTGTATTATCATGTCTACAATCATTTCCCAAAGTTTTATATTTTTCTGAATTTATTTGATATTTTTAAACATGGTTTTAAAATCAAAAAATTATTTCAAAAGCCTGTATATTTTCTGTATCAGTTTGCGGTCGATCGCCACGGTCGATCGCCTGCAGTCCAGAAACCCAGCTTACCTTTTTATGGCTCCCCCCCGACCGTCACGGTCGACCGTGGCTCATCCAGATACTTTCACGGTCGACCGCCACGGTCGACCGCCAGCTTTTCAAAACTGTTCTTTTGGATTTTGTGCTTCGCGGTCGACCGCCAGTTTCTCACGGTCGACCACCGAACTGATGATTGCTTTCCAACGGCTATATTCTGATTTGATTCTCTGGGGGTATTTTGATCTTTTCAATGTTATTTTGGCTGATGTTTTGAGTGGATATAAATACCCCATTGCCTTCAGGTCTTCAACAACAAGAGAGTGTTTTTAAAACAAGTTTAAAGAGGTTTAAACAAGGGTTTAAGTTTGGTTTAAGTTTGTTTAAGAAGCTTTTAAGCATTTGGAAGTTTGAGTTTGTAAAATCAATTTCACAAGAGCTTGAGGAGATCATCTATTGGTGTTTGGGCATCCAACTATTCTCCCTCTACCTCTTGATCTATTGAGAAGTTTTCTAAACTCTATTTCTAGCTTTACATCTATTTATTTGATTATCGTTTTATTAAAGCTAGTTTTATATTGAGTTTAGTTAATTTGATTTCACTCATTGTTTACACACACCCACTTGAGCTTATTGTATTTGCATACATTATATATTTGGGTTGGTGAGAGTTATAATAATTGAGTGTGAGCTTTCATTATGTTTTCATCCATATTAGAGAACAACCATTTATTGTAATTGTGCTTATTGTGAGAATCACTTTGTAATACACTTGTACGCCGAGAGAAGTGTGTGGCGAGAGTCGGGGATCGTCCCAAGAGGAGTGGCGTCGGTTGACGAACCTAGGGAGAGGTTATATCCGAGCACTTGAGGGAGACACGTCTAGTTCCAACACTTGAGAGGGTGTAGAATAGGATTGCAAGAGTGTGTGAGTTGTAGAGTTTTCGGTAAACTAAAAAACCGTATTGTGAGGTGTAAACGTCGTTCGGGTAAACGTAGAAAATCCGATTGTGATAGTGGAGATCTCCTCGAGGTGAGGAGCGGAGACGTAGGTCAAGTGGTTAGACCGAACTCCGTGATCATATCGTTTGTTTGTGATTGTATTGACGCACTTATTTTTATGTTCATATCTTATATCGTCTTTGTATGTTGCTTGTTGATTATATTGCCCACTATCTAGTTTAGATTATTTACCCTTGTATTAATTATATACCCTTGTATATATTCCATAGTATATCTCATTGCTAGGATATTCACCTTTGTTCATATTGCTTATTCTTGCTTGTAACATATTGTATATCTCTCTTGCAAGAATAATTTGTTAATTAGTTTAAATTGGCATAAAATTGTTGGCCTTCTTGTTTTGATGATGTTTAACAAACAATTTACCACTAATGTTGTTTGTCTAGTATTTGTGTTTTCTTATTTATTATAGACAAATAACATGTTGGAGGATGGATGGAATAGAGCTTCAACGATCATATCCAATGGAGGTTGGCGGAATTGTGGAGTGAAGCCTACGCAATTCATAGTTAAAGATCAAGTTCAAGCTTCATCCATATGTGTACCAAGTCGAGCTTATTGAAGATCAAGATCATAGCTTGGGTAATTTAGTTTAAGTGTTATATTATGTGTGTTAAGTACGTTAAGCTCAATATCATATACACACACATTTATTGGTTTCTTCGTATATATATATAGTTATATATATATACATAAGTTTTGGTTTCTATGCATATATATAGTTATATATATACTTACATAGTTTTTGAGTTTTCGTGTTTATAATATGATATCACATATTTCATATTTACTATTGTGTTTTTGAAAACATTGTATAGAATATGCAATTTTGTGAAAATTCTATATTCTTAGTTTTTGGACTTAACAATAATCATATACATATTTTATTAAGTCTATGTAATCATTGTGCAAAGTTTCAAAATATGGTTTAGCCAAAATATCAAAAT